CCCCAAAACCCCAAAACCCCAAAACCCCAAAACCCCGTAACTTGAATATGATGTTGAACTGATTTGAAAGGCCAGTTATTCATCCATACTAGGCATCTCACATCTCTCAGAGCTTTGTTCTAACCCAGCCAGAGATATCCTTCACCTTTTATGGACACTTAAGGAGAAGAGGAATTACTCTTTTCCTTTTACATCATCTAATTTCTGTGTTTTTATGATATAATCCAAACCAGTTGAATCACCAGACTCTTTTATCTTTGATAGAAGATGCTTCTTATGCTCTTCAAGCTCTTCAATTCTCTTGTTAAGGCCACTAACCGAATTGAACATTTCATCATATCTCTTCTTGTAGTACTCAGTTTCTTCTTTGGCTTTCTTAACTTCTTCCTCCATACTCTTCATGTCATCCATAGATTTCTTCAAATCTCTAGTGGACTCAGCTAGGGAGTCCTTCATGCTACTCCTAGCAGCAATGGCTTGGAGAGCCAAGCGCTCTTTTCTCTCCAGTTCATGCTTGAGGTCCTTCTTCTCTAGCTCAAGTTTAGCTGCAGTCTCTGTGGCATCAATCATTTTTATCTCAGCATCTTCTTTGTCTTGCTTTCATTGATTTCTAAACTGAGCTTCTGCTCTGAACATTGAGGGTAGGAGTTCAGCATCTTGTCTTATCTTGAACAACTCAGCAGCAAGTTCTTTCTGATACCTCTTCGTCTCTTTAAGCTTTGGCTTAAGCCAGCTTTCGAGGTTCTTCTTTGCCTCAGTCATATTTCTTAGATCATGCTTGGTCTTGGTCAATGCATTCTGTCAGGTTTTGAAGTTTCCTTGAGCACTGTCAAGTTCTTTTTGAAGGGAGTCGTTGTAGAGTTTGAGACGGTCAATTTCTCGAGTCATTTCGTGAATCTCGTTCATCTCTCCACCGAGCATAAGGTTCTCATTTCTCTTGATGTCATCTTGGAGCCTCTCCTTCTCCTTATACACATCTTCAAGATTTTTCCTGAGAGTTTCCAAAACAGGGTTGTTTTCTGATAAATCTCCAAGATCTCTCTCCCCAGAGAGGTTGAAATTAGTCTTGATGAGGTTTTCCATTTCGAAAAATCAAAGAGAAAGTGAGTATAGATTCTCCACACTTTCACTATACTTGCCCTCTCCTTCTATTGAAGGAGTGTATATTCCCTCAGAGTTAAGCTTGAGTTCTTCCAGCCTAGCCTTTGTAGGGACGTATCCATACTCTTTTTGGAGATCTTCCATTTGATTTGTAATATCAGCAACCTTGGCTTCTACGAAATCAGCACTGTTGATATTAAGATCCTTAAATAACAGAATCTTCTTGTAAATTAGAGCATGGGAAACTTGCTTCATCAAGTTATCCTTCATGTTCATCAATTTGGCAATGATCTCCAGCTGGTTTGCATTCTCCTCCTCTGATTGCTTGAGAGCAGCTGTGCATTCATTCTCAAACTTGTTTTGAATTATCTTCCAAGATGTGTCTAAAGAGGTTAATCTGGCTTCTTACCGATCACATCATCTCCCTTCTTCTTGTCATATTTTGCAGGCAAATGCATGATTAGTTTGATAGTTTTCATTATTTGGATAACCTCCTTGCTGATAGTAGAGACTATGTGGTCGAAGTAGTGCTTGCGTTTGCTGATGCTATCCCCTTCAGTGACTTTGGCATCATTGATTCCTACTTTTTCAAGCAGTTCAACCTGGCTCTGGACTTGGTCAGAGATCTCCTGCATCCTTTTTCTCCAGTCTTCCACTCTCACTTTAGTATGCTCATCTATGGAAAAGTATATAGGGAAGGTCTCAAGGGAACGAAAAATTTGAAATCTGGAATTTTCCTCAAGGAATAAGAAATTTATTAAATAATTTATGACTTTAGCTGAATAGTGGAAAATAGAGAACCAACGCTGTTTTAGACATAGGCTATGTAAACATACCTGAAATATGTAGGTTCTTCCTAAGTTCCTTTAGCTTATCCATGATTGCTCTTGTGGCAATCATTGTGCTCGGCTCCATTATTTGTATTATTCAACTGAATATTTTTTAAAGGGGTTTTGGGGTTTTGGGGTTTTGGGGTTTTGGGGTTTTGGGG